CACAATCAATTTGAATGAAGTATTTTGATGTAGTTAATAGTTAATAATTAATGTTTAATGATTAATAATTGTATTATTATAATTTAAAATATATAATTTATTTGATTAAAATTAATAATTCATAACTATTTTTTAAATCTTTAATCAAACACCTACTTATACTACATTACTGCATATGTAGTTAGTATTTAAGAAGGCTAAGTTATAGATTTTGAACGCTTAAAAAGTCTATGTATCAATTTTATGCATATCAAGATACATATATTTTTGGGTGATTTTGAGAAGTCCATTGAATTGACTTTTTGTATGTCTATTGATGGAACGATAGATACACACCTCCTTCAGTCATGCATGTGAGCGTTTTGAACACAGAAGAACACTAAAGTCTTGACAAAAAAGATTAAATTTGTGTCGTAAAATCATTAAAAATTTGAGGGCCGGATGCTAGAAAAGCAGAATCACTGTATGACAATCTTGCATGGACTACTGTTGGCACGTGAATATGGGGTATCAAAATGTGGTGCTTGAGAGTGACTCCATGATACTGATCAGCACCCTCAGGTGCAGATTATAATCTTTCTTTTTGTTGGGTGCATTATTGGCGACATTAGAAGGGTTGCACTCGGGTTAAATTATAAATTAATTACATTAACGACTTATTAATTTAAGTGAAAAGAAATCAGTTCCACTTAAATAAGATTTTGAATTCGAGTTTTGTGAACAGAGAAATAAATGTTGAAAGAGTTTTTCCCTAAATGAAATTTGACGTGACTCGATTTCGAATTAATTAAAATCTGATGTGGTTACCATATACCAAAAAATTAATAAAAAATTATAAATTAATTACGCTTTTGTCTGGCAAGAAATTAATTAATAAGGTAATCCATATATATGCCAGTGCAACCCGCAATCCATCTCATAAATTCTAATAAATTGTTTTAATAAATCCAACATCTTGTATTGGTGAATATTGTTCATCAATGATATGAACTTATCTTAACTCATGTAAGCTAAAAAAATTATTGGTATTTGATTTAGAGTTTCGTTAACAATTAATTGTTATTAGTTTTAATAGAATAAATTAAATAATTTTTAATTATAAATAATAATAATTAATTATTATATATCAAATTTTAACTATTAATTATATTTACACAATTAATCTAAAGGCTCACTACATTTGTGCTCATCATTTTTGCTGTTTGGATGAAATACACTATGAGCTGAGGATTAAAAGGAAAAACAAAAAAAAAGAAAAAAAAAAGTGAAAATAGGGCTGGGCCCCTACATGCAAATGCAAAGACGGTCCACAAGGTATCATGTGGGGCCAACTTTCGACACGTGAAGCAAAAAGCATACACGCGGCGTATCAGGAATGACTTGTGAGGGGCTTTTTCTCATGTATGGATGACAGATGCCAAACTGTCGCATTGCATCCTTCCCACATCCATGATCCATCCTTTTCCTTTTTCCTCAATCCATCTTTTGGTGCTTTCCCCACCATTTTTTTTATTAATTTAAGAAAAAATTATTTATAACTTTTAAAAACCTTTAATTACATTAAATCTTACTTATATTTATTATGTTTATGATTTAATTAATTTAGTAATAATTTTATTTTTAAAAAATTTAAAATTTAAAGTATATAATATGTAAATAGAATATTGAAAAGTTTTTTCTTATTATACAAGTTAAAATAAAAAAATTACATTTATTATAGAACTGAAATTTTAAAATTGATATGCAAAAATTCCACGATCCACACAGGTATTTTTGAAATTTAAACTACTAACCTCTAATTTGCAATGTAGTTGCTGGTTTGATGGTGTTTATTTGAAAGAAAAAATGAATAACAAATAATTTTAAGAGAAGGCAAGAATTTGATCAATGAAATGAAACACTTACAAGACAGAAAAAAAAAAAAAAAAAAAAAAAAAAAACAAATTAATGGGATATACCTTTTTTTTTTTTAATGAAATTTGAGAAATTAAGACAAATTTTGATTCCTCACCAATAGTGTGAAAGGAGAACCATCAAAATAAAGGAATATATGATTCTGATATATGGCCAAAAGCAGTCACAGAATGATTGAGAGATAATGAGAAACCATATTTTTGGTTGTCGCCAACTATAAATGATTGTAAAAGGCAAAACTTTAAAAGATATAATATGTTATTAATTATTAAATAAACTATAGTCTACAATGCTAGTTGCTTCAATCCAAAACAAAACACAAGAGAATATGATGCTATCCTGCAAACAATCCATA